GCCATGGTTTTCACTTCCTTGATCGACAATGTTTGGCTCACTGGTGGGGTGGTTTATGGCGAACCTGACAGCCATTACTATCCATCTCGGTTGCAGCACAATGAAGCGCTCCTGAGAGCAGTGGTTGACTCAGTTGGATTTTTGACTTCTGGTCCTCGTTTCGTGGCGGGCGATTGGAATGTGGCAAGCGGTGAACTTCCTGTTTTCAGTGTTCTGGAGGGTTTGGGCTTTAAAGACCTGCAAGACATTGCTGCAGAGCGCTGGGGTATTCCTCCTCAACCTACTTGTAAGGCAAAAACACGCAAGGATTTCTGCTACATATCGCCTGAATTGCAACACTTGCTCATTCAAGTTGATGTGGTCAATGACGTCTGGCCAGACCACGCCATGCTTGTGGGTCGCTTTCACCGGCTGGGTGAGGCTTCAAAGATTGACGTTTGGCGCACTCCTGGTCCCTTCCCTTGGCCCAAGCAGTGGGAGGTGCCTCTTGATTGTTGGCACTCCAATCCCAGTCCAGTTGATGATAGATACCGTACTCTTTGGCAGACCATTGAGAACAATGCATCTCAGGCGTTGCCCTTTCGTGTCTCTAAGCAGATGGTTGGTCGTGCACATACAGTGAGTACTACCCAGGCACGTCAGGGTCGCCTTTGTCATGTGAGGGTCGGGCGAAATGGTGACTTTCAGCCTCATTTTCACGGGTGTTCCGTTCGTCATGCTCAGTGGATCCGGCAAGTGCGGAGACTGCAGGCCTTTGTTCGCAGCAGTGGAAGTGGTGTGAACTCAGTAGGGTACAAGCAACATGTGTGGGCTGCCATCCTGCACGCACCCGGCTTTGACGGGGGTTTCTCTCTGTGGTGGTGTAACTGTGCTCACAAAGTTCATGGCTCGCCTGAGTTGTTGCCCTGGTTTCCTCCAGCTGAAGCCATTGCGGTGACTATCTTTGAGACTGTGGCTATCCATGTTCGGCTGTTGGAGAAACAATTGATGTCCACCTCGCGTCAGTATGCACGGCTTCGTCGGGCACGGAACCCCAACTTGATCTTTCGTGACACTAAGGGTCCGTCCAGTCATGGGGTTGATTTCTTGATCCGGCCTCTGCAGTCCAATGTTACTGAAGTGCGTGCTGATGACTGTTCTGTGCTTGTTGACCCTCCTCAACCGTGGGTCAGTGATCGTCCTGTGCTTGCTCATGGGCTTCCGCTTCATACCATTCATGTGGAGGATGATTGTCTCTGGCTCCAGTCCATTGAAGGGGTTCAGGTTGGGCAGTGTGTTTCCCAGTTGCAGTGCACAGGGACAAAAGCTGATCTTGAAAAGGCATTTGCTGAAGCATGGAAAGCACGTTGGGATCGCCATGCACATGTGCCGGAAGACCGATGGGTCACCATTCTTTCGTTTGCCAGGGCCTTCCTGCCTCGACTTCGGTTAGATTGGCCTCAGCTTACACCAGATGTGTTGGGACAACTCATTGCCTCTAAGAAGTCCTCTTCTGCTTGTGGGCTTGATGGAGTCTCCATCAAAGACCTCAAGAGCATGCCGCCTGCGGCCCTCTCAAATTTTTGTGACATGTACAGTACTGCTGAACAGACTGCTCACTGGCCGTCCCAGCTTCTGATGGGTAAAGTTGTATGCCTGGCCAAAGTTGATCAACCAAGCTCGGTCTTGGACTACCGTCCCATTACGATCCTGGGTATGCTCTATCGGCTGTGGGGGTCGTACCACGCCAGACGTGCCATTCGTTTTCTTGACCCATTCTTGCCGGATACTCTGTATGGAAGTCGATTGGCCCGGTTTGCTGGCCAGGTTTGGAGTCAATTGTTATGGGCAGTTGAGGATGCTACAGCCAACAACGTTGCTTTGTCGGGCCTCATTGCTGATCTGCAGAAGGCGTTCAATCACATTCCACGCCTAGTGGTTTTTGAAGCTGCTGCCTTGCTTGGCATTCCAATGAATGTTCTTACTGCATGGGCTGGGGCATTGTCTTGTCTGGGTCGACGTTTTCAGATAGGATCCAACTTGTCCCGTCCGGTCTATAGTGTTACAGGGATGCCTGAAGGTGATGGACTCTCTTGCCTTGGGATGCTAATTGTTGACATCTTGTTTCATCAGTGGCATCGGCATTTCTTTCCCCTGTGTGAACCGGTGTCATACGTTGATGACTGGACCATCCTCACCACTGCTCCTGACAGGATGCTTGAGGTGTTTGCCTGTTTGCAGCGATTTACAGATGCTATGGATCTCCTTCTTGATTCAAGGAAGACCTTTGCATGGTCTATCAGCTCATCTGGACGCAAAGCCTTAGTTGCACAGGGTTTCAAAGTTGAGACAAGCTGCAGAGTTTTGGGAGCTCACGTGCAGACGACCAGAAAGCACACCAATTCTACCCAAATGGCTAGGGTTCAGTCTTTGGCTTCGGCTCCCTATGAACTGAAATTGCGGGCCCTTCGCACTGCGGCTTGGCCGAAGGGCCTCCATGCGATTGCTGCTACAACAGTTTCTTTGCAGACGTTTTCTACTTTGAGGGCTGGTGCAATGAAGGGGCTGAACTCTGATGGTGCTGGCAGCAACTCAATGCTTCATTTGGGGTTGGTGGAGAAGCCTGTTACAGACCCCCAGTTTTGGGCCATCTTACAAACCTTCCGTTTAGTTCGCGATTGTGGCATTCCCGAAGTGGTTCAGCAGGCAGTGGGTGCTATGACTCTTGGGGCCACCAACTATGCTGCTAATGGCATTTCGGCAACACTGTTGACTCGCATTCAGACACTGGGATGGCACATTGACTCACAATCGTACATTGTGGATGACTTTGGTAGGTTCTCACTGTTTGCTATCTGCATTGAAGAGCTCCAGTGGCGAATGGAGTGGGCATGGTTAAAGGTTGTTTCTGCCAATGTTGCACATCGTCCTGCCTTGGGTGATCTTGCAATGGTTGATCCGGTCCGGACCCGGCAATGGCTGTCCAAGTTGTCACGTGATGACCGTGCTGCCTTTCGCAAGTTGTTGAATGGTGCTCATGTCACGCAGGATGGAAAGCTTTACTGTCAAGAGGTTGCCACTGATGTCTGCCTGTATTGCCAATGCTCAGACTCCAGGTTTCATCGATTCTGGGGTTGCCAATGTTTCGCTGATTGCCGGCTGGGAGTTTCAGAAGCACTCTGGGGCCTCATTCCTGACTTGCCTGAGTGTGTTACATGTTATGGCTGGGCTCTGCGGCCTACATCCCATCATGAGTGGTACTCATACCTTGATGCCATCCCAGCAAGCATTATTCCTTCTATGCCATGGCCTGAGTGTGATGAAGTGCATGTCTTCACGGATGGGTCTTGTTGCAATCCAGGTTATCCTGACTTGAGGTTTGCTGCCTATGCTGTAGTCTTGGCTGACCCGTCGTTTTTGCGTCCTGCCATTGTTTTGGATAGTGGAGTCTTGCCTGGCCTCCGGCAAACCTCCGTCCGGGCTGAGTTGTTTGCTGTTATGCGGGCTGTGCGTTTTGCTGCCTGTAGAGGACTGAGGTTGATGATTTGGTCTGATTGCCAAGCCGTGGTCCGTAGATTGCGCCGCATTCTCCTTGGTGCGCCTGTCAGGATCAACTCGCCAAATGCTGATTTGTGGATGCAGATTGCTGAAGATGTTTCTCATGGGTGTTCGGTGCAGATTACAAAGGTTGCAGCCCATCAGAATGTATGTGATGCTCTCTCACCTCTGGAAGAGTGGGCCTTCCTCCATAACCAATTTGCAGATCATGCTGCTGCCAGGGCAAATGATGCACGTGATACAGTGTTTTGGGAGTTACTGGCTCGTCATGCGAATGCTTGCAGGCAGGTGGATGAATGGAACTCCATGATTCACAACGTTCAACTTCAGGTCAGTCGTAAAGTGCTGCGTGGTGTACACCATGAAGAGGACTATGAACCAGAAGTTGCTGAAGCTCCAAAGCCTCCAGAATGGAAAGGGCTTCCGGATTCCCCTGTGCTTCCATCGGGAGCGGTGCGATGGTATGGGCAGTCGGTCGTGTCCAGGATAGTTGCTTGGCTGTGGAATGCAGTTTCTGTGGTGAGGGGCCCGGTTGTGTGGGTCTCCAATGCTCAGCTCTACGTGGACTACGTACTTCAGACTGGCCATGCTGGTCCCATTAAGCAGGATGGTTGGAAAGACAGTGAGGATTGTCCTTTGCATGCTCTGTTGCAGGTTGGCTTCAAGGAGAGAACCCGTTGGTTTGGAAAAGTCTTGCGGGAAATTCTCCGACATGCAGAGATCCCTGTTATGGCTAGCTATTGTCGCCCGCAAAGCCATATGATCTGTATGTTTGCCAGCTGCTTGGCGCTGCCGTGGTGTTCCTTGCGTCTGCTGGAGGTTGACAGATGGTTTCAGAAATTTAGTTTCACCCCATTTCGACGGCAGTCCCGGGAGCTCGACCGGCTGCCCGTCCCTCTGGCCTTGTCGCCACACTGACCAAAGCGTCGACACAGTTAAAGCACTGTCTTCTCACCCCAAGACAGTGCGCCACACAAAGCGGTACAAAGTGGTGGTTTGGAACATTTTTTTCCATATTTTGGGAATAATCATCCCAACTGACTAATATTTTTCAGAGGGGTTGAAACCACCAACCAGTTATGTTTGGTTTGTAAACTAGATACTAATTTGCGCAAAGTCTTTGAAGCACGATTGCATCCCCTGAAGACACTGCAAATCACAAACATAGACTAGAAAATATTCGTACAAACGACCCGAAAAACAATGATGAAAAATCATCAAATGTCGTATTAATTCAATCATTCAGCCAAAAAAGAAAGAGTACTAGAATCATCATCTACAAACCATTAAAGATCATCTGGAGGTTTCCTAAAATGAGGGCACCCCCAAATCATCCAAAATTAAACAATTTTAGTATTGAAACACATGGTTTTGGGGTCTTCCCTTTTCAAGAAACCCCCATCTAAAGATTACTTAAAATCACAGAAATCCTCTGACAACTGCCGGAAAAGTTGCCGCATCAGGAAGATTGCCACTTTGCAAGCGAGCAGCATCACTTACAACACGGCGATGAGCGCGGCTGGTTCTTGGGAAGCTGTGTTAGGTTCGGGGCTGACAGTTGGATGGGGAAATTGGTGAAGAGAATGGCTCTATAGCCAAGAAAGGGGGATTTATCCCCCAGGTCTTGATAGAGATGGCTGGGATTGTCTAATATCAATATTTGGGTTGCAAAAAAATTGCCAGCAAGCGACGATTGAAAGTATTTTGGTCAAAGTGATGGCGACCCCCTCTGGAATTTGCGCAGAATCAAGCGGTTGAACCCAACAGAAATTCAGCTTGTCAGCTTCCAAAGAAGCGAAAGCTTCCAACCTGAGCAGGCGAAATGAAAACCGTAGTGGCTGGGGCTGTCACATCCAGATGAATCACCATCCCCTTTGAAATAAAATATTACATCAAGCATATCAAATCCATCAGGTTTTGGGCTGATCGAAGTCGCTTTGAACGATACTCTGTGTGAACGAACCCTTTGTGAAACCTCTCTGTGTGTGATGCGTCATGTACGGAAACAAATAACTAGACTATTTACCAAAACTCCTTTGTAGAATGATATGTGTATACAGATTGCCAGTTCTTTCACCTTTGCGTAGATGTGTCTCTATTTGCCTGATGGACCCTTCGGGCACATTGTTGCTATCTTTCCATCATCGGACAGCAGGGCAGGGCCAACAGCCGTAAGTCGTGGACCAAAACGGCTAAGATGTCGAGTTTAATGTTTCCAGGATGGAAGTTCGATGATGGTTTTCCCAAGAAAACACCCGATTTCTTACTGTTCGGCATCACTGGGCGATAACTTCATAAATTTAAACCCATTCACTATAAGTATATCCCCCTGCTGTAATCAACCCGAGTTGAGCCATTGGGTAGGCTTGTTGATTGCCACCCCCTTCACCAACGTCGTCACCTGCACCAGCGCCATCGATGGGTGCAGTGGCCGCTGGGAAATGGCCATGCACTTCTTGGGACGCATGTGTCGTGTCGACATAACGATGGTAGCTGGCTCAAGTGAACCATTCAAAACGCCATAGTTGATATGTTATTATGGAAATTATACTATATGGTTTCATGGGGATTACAATAAACCATAATGGGGATAACATGGGATAACTACTAACTAACTAGTATAATGGGATGGGATAGGGGTATTTTTCATGGCTCAAGTATACCCTCCGGTGTCATCAAACGTGGCTGGCTGGGACATCCCCAAAAGAATTTAGGTGAAGATGATGGGAAAATCATCGAACATAGCTGATGGATTTTCCAGAAATCTATGTTTGATTGCCAGAGGGTAATGTTTGATAAGGTGAATCCTCCCAAAATCGGCCTATACATAAAAGTTCAGGCAATGAAAATCATACCCCCTTTTTTAAGTCGTCCAGATTCCAGATGGTATACGTCTTGAAGGTCTTGAACAGAATGTAGAGTGGATGATGTTCGGTTCATCTCCGGTTTTCTGACTGAAAATGGAGATGTTGTGTCTCCAGTTTGGGGGTAACAAAGCATGTGTAACACCATCAACCGACCACAACAAAGGCACTGTTGTCCTCGGTGACCTGCAACGACGATGTGATCAAGATCGATCCACCCCAAGGGGTATCCCCGATTTTTGATGGTTAATCATGGCTGGCTGGTGGTTTGGAACATGGCTTTTATTTTTCCATATATTGGGAATAATCATCCCAACTGACTAATATTTTTCAGAGGGCTGCTATTTCAAACGGTCATAGCCCATTTTCAGGTAAAAAAATGAAAAGCAAGTGAAGCATCTGTCCGTGTCAGATGGTCCCAAATTCTCGGAAATTCCAGCCACTCTCAGGTTATGGATGGGGCTGTTGCCTAATGTCATCACTTTGAGCAGCGTGCTCAGCGCATGTCAAACCGCCCAACGGTGGCGTCTGGCCTTGGCAGTACAGCAAATGATGCATGGACTGCAGGTCTGGCTGGAAAAAATTGGGTTCAGCCAGCTGTCCTCACAGCAATAGCTGTTTGGCGCAGCCACCAATTTTATTGGTGATCTCAGAGACCTCACTAGATACGAGAGAAAACCAACCAAGAATGGTGATCTAGAAATGACAGAGGATTCTAGCAACGATATGATAAAACTGGGAGTAGGACGGAATTAACTTGGACCCCAGTGCTACTGAGTCCTTCTAGATGCTGTTTTTCTTGGCTAAGGAGCTCGGCTGCCAAAGTTTTACCAAACGTGATTTGCTACAACAGCACTTGCACTTCTTGTGAGCAGACTGGAAGGTGGTGGATGACCGTGGGCCTTTTAAGACAGATGAGTTTGGAGCGAGTGACGGCGAGTTCTCTCAGCTACAACAGTGCAATTGCAGCATGTGAGCAGGTGAAGTGGGAGCTGACACTTGGTAGGGAAAGCCTGGGAAAACCCTGGCAGTTCGGATGGAAAAGTAAACTAATGTTGGTAAAACAGTGTCATAAACCATGGTTTATACCACCTATAAAAATGTTGATTTGGGGGATGGTTTATTGTTGCTTCAACCACATGATACCAATTGATGTGCGGAAGTGTCCATTCCGAGTTTCACCTCAGCGGGGAATACTGACCAAGGCATCACTACTGATGGGATGGGCCTGCTATCAGTATTTATCAATCGCGTATGGATGGGATTGTAAGTTATGCCCCAGGATCACTTGGGCTCATCTTCCAGTTCAACGATGTTCAACGGGTCCTCCCAGGTCCTCCAGAATTATTGAATATACCTTGAAAGTCAGCCGGGCCATTGATGCCCCAATCACTGGCTACCAGAAAGGGAAGAGCTGCCCCAATCACTGGCTCAAAAAAGAACGGGTTTTCTCCATGAGCTCAACAGCTTTAGCCAGGCCCCTCCATCATCCGTGGCCAGGACCCTGGTGATTTTAGACTGCTTGGAGCACTTCAGAGGGGCCGATGCCCTGAGCTACAGCAGCGCTGTGTGCGCTTGCAGCCAGGGCCATGGCACTGCCGTGGCCGTTGCCTTGATGAGCCGATTGGCCCTGGCTTGGCCTGCGTGGCTGAAAAAGAGGGCAACCCAGGGCTTGGGATCATGGGATGTTTGGGCCATGTAAATTTGGTGGTAGGAAATGTTCGGCAATGTTCTGGTGAATTTCGCTGGTGGGAAAGTGGACCAGCAGCCCTGTTTTTGATCGGGAAAATCCATATATCCCTTTGGTCTGAACGATCTAAAGAAGGGAAAATCGGCCCAGTTCGTAGCTGGGAAGGATTTGTTTGGATGGTTGACAAAGGTATTCACGAGCCAGGGCGGGTCCAGCCTGAGCACATCTAGGTCTTTCGGCCCACACAGAGTTTCTGAGCAGTTGGAAGATGTTCATCAACCTGCTTGGGTGCCAATATCATATATCAATTACATATTAATTCATATGATCTAGTTGTGTCCAACATCTTTCAATTGTTTGGTTTAAGGGAAAATCTACACCGGAAACCATGGCTTTTTCCTTGGGAGGCCATGGACGCCTGCGCCAAGTGTGGCAACTTCGCCCAAGCCCAGGAGATCTTCACCACCATGCAGGACAGGCCACGAGTTGGGCCGTGAAACATGGGGAACTCCTGGATTTTTCCATCGATTTTTCCGATGATTTTGGGGTTTCTTCATGCTAAATCGCCTCTGGATTTTTGAGGATTTTTCGGGGGGGTCCGAAATGTCCGAGTTGTTTTTTGTTGAAGCCCAACTCGCTAGCTAGTTGTCTGATGCTCGGAACTGGTGTCCTGGCGTTTCACCATCTCTAGAAACGGGATGATGATCCAAATTGATGAGTTATTGATGGAAAGATTGCATGGTTTAGTACTCAACATGACCAGCCGTAAGGAATCCCTCAATCCACTGGCTTCCGCTTCGTATTCCCAGTTGCCTCTGAGACAGAAACTGCAATCAGATCTGAAGAATGATTCTGCTTAAGCAAACGGCTGTGAACAGCAGCAACTTTGCAAGTTTCATGAGTTTCATGAGTGGTTGTTTAAGTCTTGTGATTTTGAGAACACTGTGCGACTGCGGCCATGACTGGTGCCATCATAACTCGCAGGACCAGCAGATGGTCACCATGGAAAGCGTGACATCTTTGGTACGGGCTTCCAGCCGAGCAAAGAGACCTTGGCAGGCGAGGCCTTAGCGGGTACCAAACTTCACAAACCCGGCCCTTTTGGGTACCAAACTTCACTTTTTGTGGGATGAAAAAGGCAGAAAAATGGATTGCATCATAGTTTCCATTGAAGTTGGAGATCTACCCACCAAAACAAACAAGACCGTTGAAACTTGCCAGATGACCAGCTGGCGGTAGAGTCAGCTGTTGTCACCAAGTTCGCGTTGCAAAGTGGCTTTGCGCCTGATGTTCAAAGCCATGGCCCGATTACGGGCCTTATGGTTGTTCAAGGATCCAACAGAATCTATGCAAGAGGTGCCAACTTGAAATGGCAGGTAGACACATGTGCATGTACGCCACGTGATGTGTATCACAGCCTGCCTGTTCAAACAGGCTCCAATCTTTGGAGTTTTTTGGAAGTCAAACAGCAAACCATTTATCTCTAAGCATTAGAAATTAAATTTGCACCCTTACATTTGCACGCCAAAATCCCGAAAGAATCCTAAAATGGTTCGTATTTTTCCAACAAATCTGACCGTCATTCACCCAGCATATCCATCATGAAATCCAGCATGTTGCGATCACCCCCCAGTCTTTGATAATGAAGTTCAATTTTTATAATTCTTAATAGTCAAAAATCCCTTAAAAAAATCTTCAGATCCCCATGTTTGGTCATGTTTTAATCCCATGATATCCCATGTTTCATCTGGTTTTCGTGCTGACAAACCCAGGTTTCCCACCCAAAAAGTCCTCCCAACTCCCTCCGTTTCGTCAGGAGTCCGAAGCCCTGCTCTGCAACACCCAGCACTCCGTGGCCTCCCTGCCGGGCACGGACCTGCGACTGCTGAACTGCGTGGTCGAAGCCTGTGCCAAGGAACGGAGATGACGATCAACCGCGATGGAGGGCAATGGGCCGATTCATAATCAATCTGGTTGGTGGTTGGGAACATGGCTTTTATGATTAATAGTGATGGTTAATAGTGGTTAATAGGGTATAAACCAACAACAATGGGAATATGATGGTTATATACTGGTTGGTGGTTTGGAACATTTGGATTATTTTTCCATAATATATGGGAATAATCCCAACTGACGAAATCATATTTTTCAGAGGGGCTGAAACCACCAACCAGTAATGATGATTAATGATGTGATTATTGTAATGTCATCATAATTAACAACCCGCATGATTAATTGATGATTAATTGATGATGATTCATTATGAGTACCCATCATTAATGGGATGTTCAATGCGATATTATTCATGATTATTGTAATATCATCATTAATCATTAATTAATGAGTATTAAGATTGCAGTGAATTGCCCATTATTAATTCCATTCTCATTAAAAATAATTATGATTAGTTGATTTCATAATATATTATGATTAATGATGAATATCCATAATTAGTGGGATGATTAATGGGATAGTTCATGAAAATTCATAGTTAATGATTCATCAATACCTGATAATGGAATATTATCGTTCATCATTAGTAATGAAGATATTGGGATGATTAAGAATGAGTGGCAATGGTTAATGATGGTTAACAATATGATCAATGGCGATTATACTGATCAATAATGATTAATGATTAATGATGCTTAAGAATGATCAATGTGGTAAACCCAATGAAAAAAACCATCCCGAAGTTTGAAGTTTATGAAATTGGGTATACCCCAAACGACATGGGGTGATGTTCACTATGACCTCCAAACCTTTGGTTAATGGGATGGTTTATGATTGGGTTTGCCACAGTAGCAAGTTTAACGTAACATAATGTAACCCTCCCCAGAAAAGGATGGAAGATTAAGTGAGATTGATTGATGTTGATTGATCACTGCGTTATTTTAGGTTTTGTCTGAAATGTGTGTTTTTCGATTGATTTTGGGGGGCGCTACGATACAGGGAGTGTGATACAGTACCAACTGGTAATAAAGCCCAAACTAAATCAACTGGATCCAACTGGTACTGTTGAATGAACATCGTACTCAGCCATGGAAAGGGAGTCAACCGAAGATGGTCTTTGGTGATTTTCATCCGTAGGGGCTGAATCTCTGAAATGGTGGGTTTTTAAAGGTGGTGTAGTGGTTCGCTCCAATCACTATGGAGGCATCTACGGAACCCAACCTTAGATGGGGAGAATGGATTGGATGCCTTGCTTCTCCAATTCCAGAGACGGATTCCCAGCCGCTTGTTCTGGGGAACATGTCGCGTCCGAAACAGATTTCATCATATTTCTATGGGTATGGATACATCCCACTTAACGGATATAGCGATGATCTAATGAGAAGCCACCCCGAAAATCCTGAAAGTTGAGAGGCCAACGCCGTGGATCGCTGCATTTTCTGGCATCCTGGCAGCTGTCTTTGCAGGGTTGAAATCCGTTCGGTACCCCCAAGGCCCAAAACCATAGGTTTCAATACCAAGTCATGGTCTAATGACTTGGATGATTTGGGGGGTACCCCCATGTTAGGAAACCTTCATGTTGTTTCTTGAAAAATCTTGGTTTGTAAAGTATCCTAATTGTTGGATGGTTTTTGAACGCAAGAATTGATGAAACATGTCCAGCAATTGCAAAAATGTCCATGTCCAAAACATCCTATTTGTTTCAAGGATTTTGTCGTAGATGTTTGCAGGCTCCCTGGTTCAAAAGCCCCTTGCGGGTTTGCTGGGGAAGTCTTGGCTTGGTTTCTTACTGGCTGATTGTTTCCACAAATGAAGGAATCCAATGTCTAAAAATCAGTAGTCTCGCAGGGTACCTGATTTATTGATGTGGTTGGTGTAGACACCCACAAGACCGAGCATGTCACCAACAAAATGGGGAGATGTGGCCAGTTTCTACTGAGAAATTGGGCAAACAGCTCCGTTTTGCCCACTGATTGTTGCTTCGTATCACCACATATTATACATTTACATTACTATACATGATTATACCATATTATACTCGTTTTTGTACCACGTTTTTTTATGGTAAAGCCCCTGCGTTTTTTGTTGTAGACACATCGATATTAGATGATAAAAAAGTTCAACAAGCAGCTCCCTTGGCTCGCCAAGGCTGGACGAGATGAAATCCAAAGCGTTGGCGCCCAATGTGATAAGTTTTACCAGCGCCTTGAGTGGTTGTATCTTGGATTTCATTCCTGGTTTCAGGAGTTTTGCCATGGACAAATTGGAGAAGAAATGCAGAAAAAAAATGAAAATTTACCATGCTTAAGGAGGGCAGAAATATTGGAAATGTGTAGCATGTGCGAAAAAGTTAAGGGAAAAATAATCTTTATAATTTTGTAAAGTTGTAGCAGCTTGAAAGATTTCTAAGAATGAGCCCCTTAGACAAATAAGGTGCTGATTTGGGGATAAAAATTTGGGACCTCCCCTTGGGTGTGCTGATTACATGGGGATTGAGCCACTTAGTGAGAGGTTCAGCATGTTTAAAGCATTAAGAATGGGGAGATGTCAATGACAAATGGTGGTTGATTGATGGTTATAAGGGAGGTTGTACTAACTGGTGGATTGTGGATTATCACCCATAATGGGGATCCCTTTCAATAAACCAGTACGATGTTAGAAAGCTATATTCCTCTAAAGAAAGTTGCGTTCGTTTAGATGGTGAGCATGAGGGTGATTGCAACAGCCGAGACAACACGTGATGAAAACCGTTTCACAGACCTGTTCCGAACTCTTGAGGAATATTGTTTCATAACATCTAAGGGGCTGAGCCTAGTTTGTTTGATGTGTTTGGTGCATTTGTCGATGCACTTGCTTGCTGGAATACTTGAGCATGTCTACTGTATTGGCATGCAGATGGTGAGCATGAGGGTGATTGCAACAGCCGAGACAACACGTGATGAAAACCATTTCACAGACCTGTTCCGAGAACTCTTGAGGAACATTATTCTTATAACATCTAAGGGGCTGAGCCTAGTTTGTTTGATGTGTTTGGTGCATTTGTCGATGCACTTGCTTGCCGGAATACTTGAGCATGTTTACTGTATTGGCATGCAGGTGGTGAGCATGAGGGTGATTGCAACAGCCGAGACAACACGTGATGAAAACCATTTCACAGACCTGTTCCGAGAACTCTTGAGGAACATTATTCTTATAACATCTAAGGGGCTGAGCCTAGCTTGTTTGATTGATGGAACACTTGAGCATGTCTACTGTATTGGCATGCAGATGGTGAGCATGAGGGTGGTTGCAACAGCCGGGACGGCACATGATGAAAACTATTTCACAGACCTGTTCCGAGAACTCTTGAGGAACATTGTTTCAAAACATCTAAGGGGCTGAGCCTAGTTTGTTTGATGTGCTTGGTGCATTTGTCGATGCACTTGCTTGCTGGAATACTTGAGCATGTTTACTAAATGGGCATGCAGATGGTGAGCATGAGGGTGGTTGCAACAGCCGAGACAACACGTGATGAAAACCATTTCACAGACCTGTTCCGAGAACTCTTGAGGAACATTATTTCATAACATCTAAGGGGCTGAGCCTAGCTTGTTTGATTGATGGAACACTTGAGCATGTTTACTGTATTGGCATGCAGATGGTGAGCATGAGGGTGGTTGCAACAGCCGGGACGGCACATGATGAAAACCATTTCACAGACCTGTTCCGAGAACTCTTGAGGAACATTGTTTCATAACATCTAAGGGGCTGAGCCTAGCTTGTTTGATGTGTTTGGTGCATTTGTCGATGCACTTGCTTGCTGGAATACTTGAGCATGTTTACTGCATTGGCATGCAGATGGTGAGCATGAGGGTGGTTGCAACAGCCGGGACGGCACTTGATGAAAACCATTTCACAGACCTGTTCCGAGAACTCTTGAGGAACATTGTTTCATAACATCTAAGGGTCTGAGCCTAGTTTGTTTGATGTGTTTGGTGCATTTGTCGATGCACTTGCTTGCTGGAATACTTCAGCATGTTTACTGTATTGGCATGCAGATGGTGAGCATGAGGGTGGTTGCAACAGCCGGGACGGCACATGATGAAAACCATTTCACAGACCTGTTCCGAGAACTCTTGAGGAACATTGTTTCATAACATCTAAGGGGCTGAGCCTAGCTTGTTTGATGTGTTTGGTGCATTTGTGGATGCACTTGCTTGCTGGAATACTTGAGCATCTTTACTGCATTGGCATGCAGATGGTGAGCATGAGGGTGGTTGCAACAGCCGGGACGGCACTTGATGAAAACCATTTCACAGACCTGTTCCGAGAACTCTTGAGGAACATTGTTTCATAACATCTAAGGGTCTGAGCCTAGTTTGTTTGATGTGTTTGGTGCATTTGTCGATGCACTTGCTTGCTGGAATACTTGAGCATGTTTACTGTATTGGCATGCAGATGGTGAGCATGAGGGTGATTGCAACAGCCGAGACAACACGTGATGAAAACCATTTCACAGACCTGTTCCGAGAACTCTTGAGGAACATTGTTCCATAACATCTAAGGGGCTGAGCCTAGTTTGTTTGATGTGTTTGGTGCATTTGTCGATGCACTTGCTTGCTGGAATACTTCAGCATGTTTACTGTATTGGCATGCAGATGGTGAGCATGAGGGTGGTTGCAACAGCCGGGACGGCACATGATGAAAACCATTTCACAGACCTGTTCCGAGAACTCTTGAGGAACATTGTTTCATAACATCTAAGGGGCTGAGCCTAGCTTGTTTGATGTGTTTGGTGCATTTGTCGATGCACTTGCTTGCTGGAATACTTCAGCATGTTTACTGCATTGGCATGCAGATGGTGAGCATGAGGGTGGTTGCAACAGCCGGGACAACACATGATGAAACCAGGGGCTGAACCTAGCTTGTTTGATGTGTTTGGTGCATTTGTCGATGCACTTGCTTACTTGCTTGGATTACCTGGTAGTGTTGTTTGGTGTGCAGTTGATGAGAATGATATTGTATATAGATATATGATACAGAAATATTTATATATATATCGCATTTTCTTTACAAAATCGCAACAGTTAAGCTTGGGAACATGGTGCGTTTTAGTTTGCAATTTTATGCAGGACCTTGGTGTCAGCGATTCTATAGAGATTTCATGTTGAAAACAGGTTGACACTGAAAACTTGGAGCAAGAGCAACTGGAGTATTCAGGTCAGCTGTCAATGAATGAGGCTTGGGGAATCTGACTTCATAGAAGGCCAACTAACCCCCCCAACCTAAAAAAGGCTTTACGAGAGTGACTTGGTGTCAGCTATTCTATAGAAAATGATGCTCACAAGCAACCTCAGTGACAGCAATTCTATAGAGATTGTCAACTTGAATATACCCTGGCGTCTCTGATTCTATAGATGCATTTTCAAAAACAGGGTCAATGTCTCCAGGTTTATCACTATAAAATTGCTCACACTAACACTTTCACTTAATTCACAAGGGGATTGATACATTGATATTTTATATCTATAGATATATATATATATGTCTATATATACTCGTATTTATTATATACATAGCTTAGCCTACTAGATGCATATATATTATATAGATTACTATCTACATAGAAGACTATACTTGTTGCGGAAGGTGTTTCAATCATAAGGCCGTGAACACAGAGCTGTACCAAGGCAAAGGGCCCGGCAGCAGGTGCTGGTCGTTCCGTTTGAGGTCGATGTAAATCATGGGGGAAACATGGCAAACATCTGGGAATATTGGGAAGTCTCGCAATTGGCAGCAAATGTGCCGAGATTATCTGAGGTCTTTGGAATTCGGTGAATATGGCTACAGATCAAGATGATCAACTCTACAAGTGTTTTCGGGCTCGGGTCCTAAAAATCACCAGCCATTGGCTCAGAACTGCAACCCAATGCGACCGATATCCACCTTGTTCTCAAGGCAGGTCGACAAATTACAAGAGACTGTGGAGAAACATTGCGAAGATCTGCTAGATTGAATGGTCTCCCCAAACCTACTATACCAAAACCGTCCGCTGATTGTATTCCTGAGATATCCTCTAGAATGTTCTTTATTCTTTAGGAAACGTGACTTCACCATGGTTGCTGCCAGGTTACAAGCCGAAGAGCTTTGCAGGCATGCCTTATTTGGGCACGTGTGGATTAATTGACGGAGTTGATTGGTATATGGTATGTAGAAAAATATGTAGATGATTAGATGTATCCAAATTTTGGAGACAAAGACCGGAATCCCATGATTGTTCTATACTTTCTCATGGGTTCACTGTGATTTCTGTTGGATGCCCTGTTTTTATCTTGGCATCCAGGATCCGGGTTTTCGGATCCAAATCCCAGCATTGAAAAATAGTGGGTGCCGCAGTTCGGTGTTTGAAACAGGTAGACGCAAGTGTCTTGCTTTCCAAACCCTGGTACCCTAGGTATTCTAAAATAGCTGGTGAATAGATGGTTATTCCCCCAAATATGGTAATAATAGGTATTGACCCATCCCCAGCTCAGTTTGGTGTTTATTGTGTTTTACAAACACCATACCCAGTTGCCCAGTTGTTTTAGCCACGTGTCCAAGCTCCCTGGTTCGCAGTGAAGTCAGAACGATTTCAGCGCAGGCGTTTGCAAGCCTCGGGTGTGAAGCCAGATGATCGTTTGACACAGATGGTCCAGCAGGCCCGACGTAGTTTCAGTTGAAGTGAAATGTGCATGAATTACTTGAGGATGCCCCAAACCAGTTCTTGATCATTGTTGATCTATTTCCTGCATGATCCTATTTTAAAAAATCTCTTGAAAACACAAATCAATTTGAGGAATTTGGGAATCCCCAATTCTTTGCAGATAGGGACTTGGAAGATCTCCCATTTTCACCCAGGTCTGTGGTACCGACTTCGCAAAGTTCCACGCTTCGCGGATCCGGAAAAAAAAACACGACACGCTGCTGCTTTGCCCTCTGTTGGTTGATTCTGTTGGGGATTACCCGAGAGGGTTATGTCAACAGTTTGCTATTGAAAATGGCCATTGATTATTGATAGTTGATTTACCCATTAAAAGTTATGTTAAATTACCAGAGGGTATACTAACCAAGTTATCAATAATCAATCATCAATGACCATTTTCAAAGTTGTAATTTTCCAAAGTTGTGTTAGTTTACCAGAGGGTATACTAACCGTTAGATCAACTTTTGTGGAAGTATCACAAGCCAAATGGGCTATATCCTCAAATGTCAAACAGTCGGGCTGAAAGATGGTGGTCACCACACCAATGAGTGAATTCTTGAATTGGACATAGGAAGCGAAGATGGTTGACTGGGGATACCTGCCTGAAAATTAGCAGCTGGAAGCAGCTTTCAAAGCCCATTTCGGAGGGTGTGTTGTTGAATTTCTGGGTAAAAATGAAGCTAGCCAACAATGACCTGTTCATCTGTGAGTTTTAACATGTTGCAACCAAACCATGGCGTTCTGGAAATGCCAGGGAAAATCCATGGAAAATCCCTGAAAATCCCCATGGAATTTCCCAGCAATCGCCACGAAATCGCGGTCATGGCGCTGAGGCCACCAGGCCGAAGATGCCAGGGTCCTACAATGATGTGGTCGCTCGGCTCAGATCATGGTTCAGTGGTTCAGGGTTTCAACTCCCTCTAGAGGAAAAGCCATGAAAAACTCATGGGAAAACTCATGGTATTTCTTGGGTAAAATCCATGGATTCCTTGAGATTAGGTTGCAGATACGTTTGGTTGTTTGGAACGGATGAGGAACTGCTGAAGATGTTCTGGTTCCCAAAAACAATGCCAACGGAAAGTTGAGACTCCAGAAAAGCAATTTCCGATGATAATGTTGAGGGCATTGTTCGTTATCGTTGGTTTATCTTTAAACACTGAAGTGCAACCCCATTGCTTTGCAAAGACGTCATTTTCGGTCCAAGGGCTTCAGTCTAGACCGCATGTTGGAAGAGCCATATTCGCTGAGAATTTAAGGGATAGAATTATCAAAGTTCGGCTATCCAAAAATGGGAACACCCCTCAAAATTGCCATGTTTCAATGGGGGAAGACGATGAATGATGTGATGGGGAACCCTATTTCCAGACTTTCAACCTGAGATTTGGCAGCAAAGTGAGCCTGCACCCCCTATGAATTCGCAGCAATTTATACCCTTCATGTGATCAAAAAAATCGCTTTACCAATCCAATCCTATGTTTTTTTCCACCTGTGAACCCAGTATCTTAAACCATTATACGTATATATTATATATATATCAACAGTTTTGAATGTTTTGACTCCTAGTCTCTGTGCGCGATCCTCCTTGCTGTTGGGGTTGGCGGATATACAATACAAATCCGTTTCTTCCGGACTTTTGACCGAAATTTTCGTGACCCAAAATGTTGATCTTCTCTGGCGGCGTTTTTTGAGTGAAGGTCAGAGCTGCCAGTGGAGGCATCTACAAATGCATCCACGGGCCGCGGGTGTGGGAACTCAGGGGTACTGCAGATGGCCAAAATGGCAACCAGGAGATTAGAATCAGATGGCAGGCTCCTCATTGCAGAATTGAATGAAGAAACAAGCAATCACATCACCAAGAAAAACCATCAATTTCCCAACATGTTGATGGATTTCCTGTAGATGCTCCATTGAAACCCAATGAATCATCGCCATTCACCATTTCCCATCCCTTTCCCATCCCCATTCACCCGTCAAACGGAGGTCGCCATTCGAGCAGCTCCTTCGGCCACTGCCGCGGTGTTGGACACCATCCATCCCGGCACCTTGATTCGGATCTCTGAGGCATCCGGTCAATGCAGGGGTGCGGAATGGAGGACACAAAAATATACAAAGAAATATATGCATATCAAGCACATAAAACACCTATGTTTAGATATATACATATATATATATATACATACATACATACATACATACATACATACATACATATATACATATATATATGTATATATGTATATATGTATATATGTATGTATATATATACATATATATATATACATACATACATACATATATATATATATACATATATATATATATATACGCAGATGCACATACATATTCACATTATATAAACAGTATTGTAATATTGAATACTGGATTACATTTCACGTTGTTCAAATGCAGTCCGAAGATCGAGTCGCGAAGTCCAAAGATGCCCCGAGAGGTAGCTGCTGGCTGGGCACGCGTAGATGACGATGAGCTGTGGGCGAGATGGACCGCGGTTTCTCTGCCAGTCTGGACATGGAAATGATCCCCATATGGTTATGATCCCCATATGGTTGGTGGATGTTGGTGGTAAATCCCCATGGAAATCCCCATGAAAATCCCTATTTATGGTGAAATTGTCATGGAAATCCTATGGAATCCATGATTTCCACAAGCTCCAGGACCTCCAATTGGCCTCGATGGCCCAAAGGCCCGGTTCCGGGTCAATCCAGAAATGGTCAACCACTGTGCATTCTCAACAGCTCTCCCAATGTCCTACATAGAGAATCATAGTTTCAGCCAAAACAAACATGAATGATAAATAAAAACAGCAAAAAAAACAAGTGCAAATGCCTTTCCAAAGAGTGCAGTGTTGCTTTAAGAATGTATAGGCTCTACATCTCTACAGGAGTTTCCCTCAACATATGCAATAGTCTTTTTGGGCATGTGCATTCTAAACAGGGACCAATTTATGCAACATGTTCTCTATAAACAATGAAGGTAAAGTAAATTTGCAAACTGCACTTGTAAAATGATGTTGCGTAAAGAATACCATTCCTCAATGTAACAACCCTTTGCAAAAAATGTGGCATTGCTTGAAAGATAAGTAGCATTTAAAAAAAAAAAATGTGCATTTTAAGCAGGCACCAATTTATGCAATATGTTCTCTATAAATAATAATGGTAAACAAACATGCAAAAATCACTCGTAAAATGACTTTGCATAAAGAACACCATTCCTCCATGTATGCCACAACCTGTTGCAAACATTGTTGCATTCTTTGAAAGATGTCTCATTACTTCCCAATTTCAAGGAGAACCCTCCTATGTATGTACTGAATGATTTCAGAAATCATAGAATAGCATTTCTGTAGGAAAATGTAGCATGCGGTTTTGCAAGATTGAATCTATTCTTGAATTACTACAGCGTGGTTTTGGAAAGAGTGCCATCTTACTGACACATTCATTGAAACATGTGTTTTACCTTTGAAAGTGCAGATTCTTGTTTGCAAAGTGTGCAACATTATTGTAAGGAAGTGTAGCAAGAGCCTACTGTAGATTCCATTGATGATGCAAAATCCGGTTTAAAAATATGCGTTTTTTGTTGTAAAGCAAGTATTGCACCACCTTCTGCAAGTAATGCCTTTCCAAAGAGTGCAGCATATCTTCTCTTTGTAAACAAAGTAGAATATGGCTTCAAACAACGCAAGACATTGTAATTATAAATCACAAATCTTAATGCAAACTTATTCAAATATAATTATGGCAATGTAAACAAGTGCTGCATGCCTATGCAAAGAGTGCAGTAGCACAATTACCTACAATATCTCTTTCAAACTAGTGCAGCATTTGCTCGAAAAAAAATGACATATTACTGCAAACTGTGCAAAATCTGTGTCAATCAAGGAAAGCCTTCCTGTGAAGATGCACACACTGTGTATATATATATATGATTATATATGTATGTATGTATATCTACTTTTAAAAGTGAATAGTTTCTTGGCAAATCTGTGTAGCATCCCCCCAAGAAAGTGTAACATGAGTCTACAGCAGATTCCATCGATGATGCAATAATGCTTGAGAAGATGGTTGTATGATTTTAACAAAGTGTGCTACCAATTTATGCAACATGTTTTTCAAAAAGTATAGCATAAAACTAAGGTTATTATCTAGGACATGGCCGAACATTTCAAAATTGGAACACACAGTCTTGATCCTCAGACCCAGTATGTTCATAGCTGCAGTGGTTAAACGATTGGTTCCTGCAAGCTTGAACGCATGAAGACACCGAACGGCCAGTGTACAAAAAGGTGCAAATGGCTGAAAGTGACTAAAACCAAAAAAACATCGGAAAAACCAAAAAAACAAAAAACATAACAAAACAATTTCCAGAGAGTCTTGGCTGGGACCCCCCCCCTTTCCAAAGAGTCTAGAAATATTTTTTTTTGTGTTTCCAAGGTTTTACCTCTTTTCAGAGAGTCTTGGCTGGGACCCCCCCCTTCCAGAGAGTCTAGAAATATTGGTGTTTTTGTTTTTCTTGTTTTTTGTTTTGTTTTTTTGGGTTTTTCCAAGGTTTTTAACAAGTGTGGGGTACTTCAAGGAAACTGGCATGAATCACAGGCAAAGCTGTCAAAGTGCCTTTGTCAATAAAAAATCTCAAAATATCATCTTAAATCATGGGAAAACTGCACTCCCAGGGGCTGCCGTTCTGTTTTTTTATGGGTTACATATGGAGTATACCATATTATAACTATAAATCACCTTCCAAATGGTGTTGTATATGATGCCCCGAATCATCCCAACAAAGACCATCACTTAGTTTTGAAAGATATTGAAACCAATGATGACTTGGGGGTACCATGACTTACTGCTAGGAAACCTCCAAATATTCTGATGTTCTGATATTGCAGGTGGAACTTGGCAAATGAAAAAATATGAGCATTGGATGGACAAAGGAACATGAAATATGGAACAAAAGGACGGAACATAAAATTCATGACTGTTTGATTTTCCAATGTGAATTGATATAGGAACATCGTACACAATACGTGGATGAACATTCACTTGAATCACCTTTGTTTGCTGTTCAGTTCAGGGTTTCACGGTTTTGAGTGTTCCCCCATGTAACATGTGTCGCATGCCATGATAATGGCCAGGGAGGTTTCCCCCTGGTGGTCAATCTACCCTACAGATAGTGACAATTACCCATCCTGCACTGTCCCGCAATAGCTCGTGACTGAAAGAATGGATGTTGTATGTTTGCACCTATGGTTTTGATTCGTTTTGTTGCTTTCGTTGCTGCTGTTGTGGATGTTTTTTCAACGCAACGTGTCCTTTTTGTAACATGTTTCGATGTGGGTTACACCTTCAACCGGTACCTCCAAAGGACGGCTATCTCAATCATTGCTATCCTACCCATATGGTGGTTTCCTAAAATAGGGGTACCCCCAAATCATCGTCCATTTATATGATGCTTTTGTCCATTATAATCCAACCAGCTATTGGGGGTATACCGCCATTTTTGTTGAAGATCCACTTAAATGATCATCCATTTTTTAAACCATCCATTTATAGATGGTATCATCCATGTATGGAAACCTCCATATGTTTGTGCCACTCGGCGATCACCTAAAGTCTGACAGGTGTGACGGAAGATGGCGAGGACCGAGCTGAAACTCGAGCCGGGTGGTTTCCAGGTTCAACGAACCATGATGGTGATACAAATGGAATATCACCAGTGAATTTCAGAGTGGGATATCACCACTCCCCTCTGGTAAACATTATTTTTTAGTTTACCATGAAGGGTAGGATACCATGGGTATCTCACTGTTTGTTCCAAGAAGTCCCCAAGGTATGGCCATGACATCATGGGACGGTTGGTGGAGTCGGCTCGGCAGGACACTGGAGCAGACAAGGTTCCGTTTTTTAGCAACGAAAAAACGGCGGATGTATCAACTGATGCGGATTTTTTTCATGGCTTGGGCAGCACTTGTCAAAGACATTTAAAAAAAAAACGTGAGAATCAGAACATTTGTTCAGAGATTCAGGGCAATGAACAAGAACGGTTTTCTGTGTGTGAGTATTCCAAGTTAACATCTTGACTTCTTCCATGACTGCAACATGATCATGTCGATTTTGACAATGGTGCAACAGGATGTTGTGTAAATCTGATCCTAAGGAAATCCGAATGTTGCGAAGTGGATCGAGTTGTTGATTCAGGTGGTTCCAGAAAAGGCCTTCATTTTGGTGGATGGCTCTCAGGCTCTGGCGTGATCAGAATCAGGGAAGGATGAACAAAACGATCAATACGGTAGACCCTTTTTCTGGCTTCATTACAATCCATGGTTCGATTTTGTTGCGAACAATGGAAGCCCCAAAAAAAGATGGAAATGCCAATCAAGGGGGTTCTTGGATGTTTCGCGCAGGTGGGCTTGAAGACCCAACTCTTGGAGCGGTTGTCGGAGGACGCTGAACTGGAGGCCACCCTTTTGGACCTGGATCCCTAGTCATACTGGATCACTTGTAGCGGAGATAAGTTCCACTTAGTTCTCACTGCAAATTGATGACAGTCTAACTCAGTTGCATACTGGATGGTCCCAAAAACACAACCCAACTCTCCGATTGAAGCCCCCTGTTTGAACCAGGTCCAAACAAGGTCGATCCAAGCTCAGCTCAGGCACAATGGCCATTTCGAGAAGCCATGGAACTCCGCTGTTTGGAGGTGGGCAACTGGAGCTGAACGCTTGGTATCAGTATTAGTTCAAGGTGGTCCATGGCAGCACCAGTGATGTCAAGGGGTGAGGGTTTCCTAAGTGTTGCTGATAATTGGATATAATTGGTACTATGACGCCATGAACTCAACCTAGACTGGTGAGGTGGAGCGGTTCACCCCATGTTCTGACACTGAAGAGATCTGAAGAGCTTCTGGCTTACCCGGTATGTACCATTAAACCCCTGAGTTGATGTTTCAACTTTTGCTGCTGGCTGGTTTCTAAAACGCATCCAAGTTGAAAACTTGATGAGCCCAATTCTTGGACACAAGCAGACGCCCATGTTGTGGGATATTACCCAAAAAGGCAGCAAACAGCCCCAGAAACCCTCAGGGATTCGAACAAGAGATCAAAAACAATCCCCATTTCTATCCATTTCTCAAAAATCCTCCAACAGGAAGTCCAAAATCAAAATAATCAGAACATATAACTGGTTGGTGGTTTGGAACATGTTTTATTTTTCCATATATTGGGAATAATCATCCCAACTGACTTTCATATTTTTCAGAGGGGTTGAAACCACCAACCAGATATAAGAACTAGAAAAAAAAACAAAAAATCTCAAGGAAATCCTTCGCCTACCAGGTGAATCAGGCAGCCCAACGGAAGGAGCCTGGCGCAAAGCAGGCGCTTCGGAGCAGGTGCGGAAGGGGGAGTGAGTTGTCCATGTTTGAACAGCAAAAAACAGGGAAAATAGAGGGAATGTGTATGGATATTGGATATAGAGTCTAGAAATGTCAATACTGAAAAAAGTCGAGAATATGGTACTTGGGTTTTTCTCCATGTTTCTCCAAGAATATGTCTGAATATGTCTAAATATGTCTGTGGAAAAAGCGCTTTTGCCTCCCAAAGGGCCATGCTTGTGGGGAAATCGTGATTAACCAGTGGATTTAGCTGCAGCCAATTTCCATACCCAATTCTCGGATTATACGGGGATGGATTGATAGCAACTATGACCATCCAGAAGACCCAGTTATGTTGCTGTGAACAGAATGTTAAATGATCTTGAACCCCATATTCTCCACTTGATAGGGCATCTCATCAAAAAGAAGATTGTTCCTTGAGGGATTTCAATTGACCACGAGTTCCAGGTGAAGTTCCGATTTTGGAAAAGAACCTTTGAGGGCCTATCAAAGTGAGGTGTCACAGGCGTATTTGTGATGTAAAGGCTGCCCAAACCATGTGTAAACCGATGTTGGAATCTAAGTCTTGGCGCGGACAAGGTCTTCTGGGGATTTGTCAAAGATTGCAACCTCTCCAGGAATGATAGGGCCCGTTAACACTTACCAGGGTCACGATTCGTTCTGTGGGACTGCTGGTGAAGAAATTGAGCCCAAAAGTGGCTCTACCCTATGTTGAACTCGTTTCCTACACTAATAGTATAGCCTGTTCTTGGACGGGGGGACACCCCAAAATTGCCTCGTGGGTTTGTCTGAAAATATATGGTTCAACCCCCGGCCATTGTAGAAATGTGGAAACTGATAGTGAGACATACCATAGCTATATGAATTTCTCCAAAAATGGGGGGGACCCCCCAAAATCTCAATGTTTGTTGGGAAAGCAATGAGTTTCCAAACCACAGGAGAAATGTAGGGTTCCTTTCATCCTCCTGGGACGCACTGTTCAGGTTTGTGGACGCCGCCATGCGATATGTCACTGAGATCAACGAGAGATGTGGGAGCAAATTATCCTTGAAGCCTCAAAGAACTGGTGATATTTTTGTAATGGGATGAATCCGATTCTTCTGGTTTCATATGTTGTTCCTATGACTAGGGGATGATTCGATTCCATTCTTAGTCTCAGATTTTAGGCAGTTGAAACCATCCCTCCTTGAACCATCTGATTGGAGCAGCAGATGAGCAGCAGATGCCGCTTCTGATCGAGGTTGGAACACCTTATCATCGAAGTTATCACGATCCTTCGAGCTCCAAGTGCCGTTATCGAATGAAGACCTCATGACACCAACTGCTTGGTGGTTTGGAACATTTGGATTATTTTTCCATATATTGGGAATAGTATGCCCAACTGACTTTCATATTTTTCAGAAGGGTTGAAACCACCAACCAGCCAAGTCTTGATGAAGACATGGTGGACATGGTGTGTTTGATGAGAGGTCCCCCAGAGGTCCCCCAGAGGTCCCCTCGTTTCTGGCATCCGATGAGTTCATCCCTCGGGCCCTCGGGGTGCCAGGTACAAACCCGGCAGCCGATTGAAAGACGCGCCGCTGTTTCTGGACCACATGCAGCTGATTCAAAAGGTGGGAGCTATCCGCGGAGTCTGCAACAAGATGGGAAGACAAGAGGGGGAAAGCTGGGGAATAGGATAACGCCTACAGAAAATAGGAATATATAGGAATCTGCAGCCCTTTTGAAAATGATAAGCCCAACGGACAAATATGGTTAAGACTTTGAGGGCTTGAAACCACCGCACAGCTATGCCTTTAGCCTCTGAAGATTTCACTATAGCTAAATCATCAACAAATTGACCATGGCTTCCATATCAAACTCTTAGTTTACTGGAGCCAGTCTGCTACAGAAAATATGTGGGGCATAAAATTCATGGTTTCCTGTCCTGCAAAGAAATCAAGACTTTTTTTCCAGTGAATCGATCGATTCAGTTTCGGCTTGAAACATGTGAAATCTGCAAATTTAGGATGGTAAATCATCTAGCTCAGCAAATCATTAAAAGAACCATGCGATATTTTGCACAAAAAAAACATCCATCCACAGCTTGTTTTGCGGTCAGGTGGTTGAGGATCTCAAGCAGGACAGGGTGAATCTTCCAGCCATTGAGAGAATGTGTATGTAGGTCAATATCGTAGTTTTTGGCATGCGGCTGATACGGCGCCCTTGGAAGGGTTGTCGATTTTGAGATGTGCCATTTACGATCCCGTGGAAGGGTTGCAAATTTCAAAAATGAGGTTTTCCGAAATGGGGGTATAGGATTTGAAATTTTCGATTTTTTAACGTGTTGCACATGGAAGAGGCATATGTTGCATATGTTGTCGTATGATCGTCAGGGGGGGGGGGGGGGGGGAAGAGGGGCCCTAGCGTCTACTTCAAGATCAGCTAAGGCGTCTTCCCCAATGACAGCACTCTTTTACTCAGCCTGTTGCCGGTCAGTGCTATGTCTACAGGGTTACTCTATATACCTCTTGAGCCTTGAAGGGCACATATAAATGTGTTCAATACTCATGCATAGTACCTGGTAGGTATTAGGTCGAAACAAAAACATGGGGGGGGGTGGGGGGAGTTAACGTTCGTGTCGAGCGCTTCCATCACGTTACGGAAGAGGCATATGTTGCATATGTTGTCGTATGATCGTCAGGGGGGTGGGGGGGATGTTAGCGTTCGTGTCGAGCGCTTCCATCACGTTACGGCAGAGGCATATGTTGCATATGTTGTCGTATGATCGTCAGGGGGGGTGGGGTAAATCATCTAGAACCATTATTGCTGGAACTCAACAACTTGATGGAACTTGGACACACTTAAAAAAATGGCGACCTCAATCCATGCTCCACAAAAAGAAACAACAGGTGTACCAAAAACGGTACAGTTATGCTTACAGCTGGACTTGGCGTCACAACGCTGCCTTGTTACAGACTGTAGCATCAGCACTGCCACAGGCGCTCTGGCACCGCTAACCTCGAACAGTGGAAAAAAAATAGGATTGAATACCGCCTTGATTGATGTGATTTGGATGACTCAAAATCATAAAATTCTAATGTTTTTTTTCCACCCGTGAGGAGAAAAATCGAGTCACCGCGCAGGCGAAATTCAAATTTTCACTCTTGAGTCACACGCCTGCCAATCGAAATGAATGTCCATGTTGTACACATTTTTTGACGACTCCTGCAAATACCAGCATTTTCTCTCTTACCCTCAAAAATGACAATTTCAAATTCGTCACCCTTACAAGGGCGCCGAGTCAACCGGTTGCCTAGTTTTTGGATGATATGATTATAGAATATTTTGGATATATAATGATACGCGTATAATGATTCCTATATATGATTGTAGAGCTTCGCACACCGGAGATGACACAAGGGTTATGTATAGTAGTGTGAGCGTTGGTGTTGTTCATGTGCTCTGCGTGTGCGCGCAGGTACAGAGCAGAGTGTGATGTTCTTGTCATACCGCAGCTTGTAACCATCTTACCACACATTTGTTTGTCGCATTTTTGTGCTTTTTCTTCTTCTTGTGTTTCTTGTTGTTGTTGTTGTTGCTGTTGTTGTTGTTGCTGCTGCTGCTGTTGGTGCTGTTCTTGCAACACAGCTTATTGTCGCATTTTTGTGGACCCCTAAAAATCGTCAAATAGGCGGTGTTTTCGCGTATTGTTGAGACCCCCAAACCCAAAAAACACGGGAAGCACCGATGTTTTGTTGCGCCTCGGAAGCCCAAAACCACGGTATTTACGATGTTTTTGCCTTTGGTAGCAAAAATCGCGGTATTTACCTGTATTTACAATGTTTTTTTGGCCGGTTGGCCCGAGAGCAAGTAGGTGTATAGGTACTCAGATGTGCTATGTAGTTGTATGATTTGCAGACGCCAAAGACATACATCAATATATTGATGAGGATTTTATTTGAGATGATGTGAATATGTTCATTATGTGTGGATGCCAAGATAAGAAGATGTGAAGATGTCAAGGTTTTGTTGCAAGAGGCAGACAAGGTATGCTGTATAGAAGATGTGAGAAAATATAAGCATACAGAAGCTGATAGGCTCTCAAACACA